ATCATTGAACATACCATTTTCCACTACTTTCTCAATCAGCCCTTTAAACCTCTCCTATTCTGCTTTCCAAGAGTACACATTCCTGTAGTTCTCGCGAAGCTTCACAGCATTGACTTCCCTCTCTTCTGCGCTTTCTTCATACATCTCTCTAATCCTTCGTGCCCATTCACCTTCATCTTCATCTGATCCAACAGTGACGGTGTTTCCACCTTCTACTTTTTGCAAAGCCTCAGCTATGCCAGATTCACCAGAGACTAGAACAGGGACACCAGCAGAAATGGCTTCGAGGGCGACAAGCCCAAATCCTTCAGTGCGGAATGGCAGAGCAACCAAATCTGACTGATAGAACATCACCTTGAGTTCCTCTCGTTCACTGCAGTATCGACGGATGGTTAGTTGGTTCCGGATGATGCACGTGTTGTCAAGAAACCATTGCTCAACTTTTCGTTGTTCACCGGGAGATGAGCCAACAAATGTCAATTCAAAGTTCTTACCAAGAGAACCAATGGCATTTGTAATTATATCATCGCCTTTCAGGGAAAGATCCTCAAAGGCAGCTCGGCCAAAGACAGACACATTAAATTTCTTTACTATTGATCTGTCTACGGCCAACTTTGATTCATTGGAAAACTCTCCAAAGATCCCAGGATTGACAACCTTCACTTCAACATTAAGCAGACGTCTGCTGTACTTCTGTTGTAGACGGGAGCCAACGGCGACAACTGCATCCGCTGCTTTACACAAATCAATTTCCATCTTATGCTTCTTCTCGTTCTCTTCAATTGTATCTTCTGCAGCCGTGTCAGATCTTTATATTTCCCAAGGTCCTCACAGTATACGTGATCAAATTGGGTCCATTTACACTTTGTAATCTGTGCATGGGAATACGCAGGACTACCTAGCTTTCTTCCATGGCCTATTACCAGATGTGGGTTTGGGAGCTGTGAGGGTGGAAACTTCAAGCACTCGAGAGGGTCGGCTGAACCAGGAACACTTCGAGCTTTGATTAAGTTGATACCAAATTGTTCAGCGTCTTCTCTGTCCCGATCATCGCTATTAGAGACATAGCAGTGGATTTTCATGCTACCAGCCGTCGTTTCTGCTAAATTAATAGCAAATTCTCGATTGAAAGTTGATAATCCACCTTTCAAGGATTTCCATTCGTCACAGAGAAACATGGTTTCTATAAGCTTCTGTTCTTTCTTCTCCTCTTCGCCACTGGCAGCAGTAGATGCGCTCTAACACGCCATTGTTAATAGTGCTCTAATTTCTTACAGCAAGTAATAAGTTTCGCTCCCCTAAATATCACATTCAAAGTAAATTCGTAAAGAACGTTCACATTTGACTCCAATTAGCACACCTTGAGCATCTAATGTTGATGGTTCATGTTATATGATGGTAAGAGTGTCTCGGGGGATTCCGAAGGATCGTATCACGGAAGTTGGGAGTTATTACATCACTAGCGACGAGCGTGAAAAGGAAAAAAGATCTAAATACGAGTGGTCAGCGGTGAAACAACTTTTATAATTCATATCGAGACATATAATTTGTAGTTGCAGGAAACAATCGTGTTGTAAAGCCGAAATGTAAACAGTTTACTCCACTAAATAAAATGTTAAGTAATTTTCCAAAGGTTTGATAGTACATATATCTTTTACTGCTTTAATGAACAATGAAGGCATCAATGGCATCCGAGAGGCGCCAAGAAGAATTAAATTTACGTTTTGTAATTTGCTGCGTGACGTGCATGGAAACGGGCATAAGCAGTGTATTTTTTCTTTTCGAAAGGCTCGAGTGCCATAATAACCTTTTACTAACCGAACAGGAGGGCCCAACTGGGTATTATCATATGACCCGCACGGCCCCGCGCGTTATTTCATAAGAAAACGTAAAAAAAATTCGTTTAGGGCCCCGGGAAAACGCGTCGTAAAACTGGAAACGCGCACGCCCCGCAAAATCGATGCGATTTAAAATTTCGGACATGAAAAATTTAGATTCTTTAAACGTTATATTTCTTTGATGAAAGTGAACATTCTGTCGGCGAATTTTGCTATTCTGGCGAAGTTTCCGACGCAGAACTACTTCAGTTGCCGAGTCCGCTTGGAGTTAATTGAAACTGGTGCAGAAAAGGAGAAAGGGGCTGCGCAGAGAAGATCTTCAATCCTACGTGGACCAGAGAATGTGGCGGCAATGGAGAGGGGGCAGCTATCGAGTGATTATGCGCAATTTCCTTGCCATTTTCCCATTACAATCTCCAACCGATAATCCGGTACTTTAACCTTAAACCAACTGCATAGCAGAAAAAAAAAGAATGGAAAATTGAACATAGCCCCGTATGTTAGTTGCAATATTTTTATTACTTTTTTTTTGCTCTGGTATGTAGGTGCAATAAGTTTAACGGTTCAATTTGTTTCATGGACCTATAAATATTACAATATAACTTGAAATAGGTCTAGACAAATGAATAAAGTTATTTTAAAACATAATCTAGATTCCCGTTATTTACATCAGAATAATAAGGCAAGACCAACATATCAGCGGCACCCCCTCTTTTTGCAGACGAAGTAAAAAAGTAAAGAAAAATTAGGGTGAATACCATTAAAGAAAATGGGAACTACTAGAAAAACACTGAAAGCCGCAACGTGAATGGGGTTTTTTTTAGGGGAGGAGGCAGTCAGAAGCCACCCAACAGGACTCCGCTATATACCGAGGTGGGTTTTAAAAAGATTCTTAAACCGAGCAGGGTTATGAACGGTATTCTTAGGTCGGTTATTGCCGTATACGTTATCTACAAACCGAGCACCGTTATGTAACAACACCAAACCGACAGTACATACACCACCCGAGGACGGATTTTTTCCCGAGGTAGGTTGCCCAGAAACAAAAACTGATCCGAAGTTTCTTCACCACGGCGGACTCTCCATCACTTTGTTTTGCAGTGAACACACATCCAAAACTTCCTCTATCGATCTCCTCCTTGTCAATTAGATCACTCCACAAAAAAACGAGGGAAATCATCGAACAATGGACTTCTCTTCGTACGCTCAAGTAATCTAAACGATGGCAACTTGAACACAATCCTGCTTTGAGTGGTTAACACTGAGCTCAATATTTTACCGCCAGAAAAGATGCACGTGTCAGGAAATTGGAAGCGTAAAGCTTACTCGAGGCTGGGCGCCTATTAACTTATTTCCTACCTACAGGGGTGGACACTTGATCGAATACACGGTATACTGGTTGCTGTTTTAAAATGTATAAATGATTGAATTCTTGAATGATGTTTATACAGGTTTGTTCACCCACTGATTTCGTCAATCTTTTTCGATAGTCCATTTGCGAGGGAGGACAAATTGACCCGAATATTTTGTTTGGGTTTCAAATTCCCCAGGTCAGAAGATCACACCAACCTTTGTCACAGGTTTATAGGTGAAAAAAACGTGCAGTTCAAATCGTAAACATGCTT